TGGAACCAGGCACGTGCAGTGTGTACTATTATTTTCAAAATACTCTAGATATTTACGAAATAACAAAAACTTTAAAATACTTTAAAGTAAAAATAAATATATAAAATATATAAAAATACTTTATATATACATAAATAGCGAAATATTTTCCCAGTGTAATATAATTGTCACAAGAAGCATAACTATATAATTTAAGCATAACTATACTCGTACAATAGAAAGAAACATGTGAAGAATTCAGAAAGTTTGAAAGTTCATTTATAATAGGAATCATAAATATTTTTTAATCAGAAATATTTTTTCTACATAACACTATGTAAACTCTACAATGTATTTTAATACATTTTTCATATCATATGGTTTGTATTGATTTTTCAATAATTGTCATTAGGTCCAGTTTTCACCACTTCGTCCCGAGGAGCACGTATGGTCAGCATATCGGGCTACAAATTCCTTAGGCATTGCCAGTGTGGAATTAAGACCAGGTGGTTCTGCGGCACACATCAGAAGTTCGGCTGCAAAGCGGTACTGTACACGATTGATGACCTGATAGTTAAGTGCAGGAATGAACACAACCATGCGCCACCAATTGTTGTATGAGAACGGCCATTATTGTTTTGATTATGTTTAAACCCCCGACGAAAACGGCGGTGTTATATGTTTGAAGTGGATATCTGTGTGTCTGTCTGTCGCATCATAGCTCCTGAACGGATGAACCGATTTTGACAATTTTTTTTTCGTTTGAAAGGTGTCTTAATCGAGAGTGTTTTTAGCTATATTTCAATCTGTTCAGCCGTTTAAAGATCATCAGCTTCAGCTCTTTTTGTTTCGGAGGTTGTTTACATTTTAAAATTAAGTTATTATTATAATTGTCATGATAGTTCAAGGGCAAAGCGTTAGTTTTAAATTTCAAGTTCCTATTCAAATCCGAGTTCGATTCCTCTGATCGAGATCGAGTCTGTGCCATTACATAATAATTAATCACAACATTGAGAACTAAATTTTGATTTTGAAACACAATGTTCTAAAATGGGATTTGATCTGTTCGGAAAAATTGCTGGTGGTATAGTCGATTCCACAAGGAAGTTTAGCGAGAAAGAAATTTTTAGTAAATCACTCACTAGTAAATTAATATTATTCAGTAACTTATGTTTTTATATAATAACTGTTTTTCATTTTAAGTCATCGTAAACTACCCAACGAATAGTTTTTTTGAAATATAGGAACCAGGTAAAGATTTTCGTTAATATTACTCGTATTTTAGGTTTGCATGTTACAGTCAATTAATATAAGGAACTAAAATAGGTTCTAGTGTCTAAAGTTTAATAATAACTAATTTGTATTCAATTCTTTGATTTTGTCTGAATCCCTGTGGTTGTTTTTTTATGTACTTTTATAGTATATTATTATTTGCTACGATAGCAGATTACAATAATTAATAAAGTATTATTTTAAAGAGTCTTCTTTCACCAATAGCTATAAAAACCTCTGTAACCCTTGAAAAAGTAAAAATGATACTAAATAAAAATGATAGCATTTAGTACATACTCGTATGCCTATTATATTATAGAGTTTACGAGTGGAAACGCGTTGTCAACGAAGCAACAGCGCCGCTCGGGTGACAACGAACGCAAGCGCACAATCAACTTGGTGGGCTACTAATGGTAACCAAGTGAACCGTCAGCAAAATTAGTGTCATCAAAATCTAAAGTGTAGAATATAGAGGGCGGCACTGAAAATTTCGGGAATCAAGGAAGTGACACAACATTACTATTTAAAAATGTATTTATTGCTTTTCGAAGTGTTCTCCGCGAAATTTGACACATTTTTCCATACGATGGAACCAATCATTGAAGCAACCATTCCATTCGGAAGTAGGGGTCTCCAAAATGGCCGTTTTGTAGGCGTCCACAGCTTCTTCAGGTGATGAAAATCTCTGTCCACGCAATTTATTTTTTATTTTAGGGAAAGTATAGAAATCATTAGGGGTTAGGTCGGGGCTGTACGGCGGATGGTCTAATAATTCTATGTTTTCTTGCTTTAAAAACTCTTTTGTTCTGTGTGCGGTGTGAGAACTCGCATTGTCGTGATGGAGGATGATGCGGCGGTTGCAGTTCTCTTTACGGAGTTCAGAAACGACCTGTGGCAAACAAATGCTAGCATACCATTCTGCATTAACCGTTCTTTATCCCTCAAGAGGAATAGTCGTAACATGGCCGGTTTTGGAGACAAACGTGGTCACCATTTTTTTTGCAACACTCCGTGAACGAACAATTTTTGTTGGCTTTAACTCATTTTCGAACACCCAAACTCGTGACTGGTTTTTTGTTTCGGGTTCGTACGCGTATATCCAGGATTCGTCACCTGATACGATGTTGTATACAGCATTTGAGGATCCTGCGTGGAATCTTTCGAGAGTTCTGACGCACCAAGTAACGCGAGCCGCTTTTTGCTCTTCACAGAGCGAATGCGGTATCCATCGGGAAAACAACTTTTTTACACCTAATTGTTCATGCAAGATTATTTGTATTTGACACATGCCAATCTTTAAAGTTGCCGGAATTTCGCGGTATGTCACATGGCGATCTTCCTCAATCAGCTTACGCACAGCATCAACGTTTTCTTGGGTGACTGCAGTTTTTGGACGACCTTGACGGGGATCATCACTGAGCTTGACACGTCCACGTTGAAATTCAGCAAACCAGCGATAAATTGTGGTTTTGGATGGGGCTTCATCACCAAATGCAGAAATCATCCGGTCAACACACTGTTTTTGTGTTAAACCACTTCGAAAGTCATAATAACTCATCGCTCTTGAATTTTCTCGAGTCAATTCCATTTTCTCAACGACTAAGCAAGTTTGACAAAATCTTGTGACAAGACCGAGAATTTTTTTTTTAAATAAATAAATTGTATTCGATTTTTAAAACCAAGGACGTTTCAATTAAAACGATTTTAATATGACAGGAACAGTGGAAATATTCCATTCCCGATACTTTTAGTGCAGCCTATGTACGCAGCTCATGCGTAATAGCCTTTTTCTTCTCAGTCTTTTTAGACCTTTAGTCGACGGCGATTGCGACTTACTATAGTTTAAATAGGTGTTTTACGCATTTGGTCGCCAGCCGCCTGGGCGACTTGACGACTCGCCGGGTAGTGGCTAGTGGCGACGCACAAGCGCCGCCAGTCGCCGGTAACCAATAGGAGTACGGCACGGCTTCAAATGGAAGCGTTCACAGTTCACAGTTCACACTGTGAGCAACTGTTCTAACGACCGGACGTCCCTAACAAAAATGGCTCAGGCATTCGATACCGATAAATTTATATTGGAAATACAATCCCGAAAAGCTATTTGGGATTTATCGAGTGACGAATATTCTAATCGGGATTTGAAGAAAAAACAGTGGGAAGAAATAGTGGAGTTATTTGAAGGTCCATTCTGCACGAATGTAATTGGAACACTGTCGCCTGGCTTGATCTCCAGGCCCTAGTTGCCTTTGTTTTGGTCGCCGTGGGACCGAGTCGCCGGCGACCAGTGCGTAATGACTCATAGTTAAAAAACGTATACGATGCGATGTTATACAACATGAAAGCTTTTTTAGCGGTGTGTAACCTACATAACATCTAACAAATTGTAGTATTACATTTTGGTTTAATTTGTTACATGTTACATGTACACTGAAGGCTTTATGTGTGTAAGTGTCGGCTACCTTTGAGAAGAATGTAACAAACATGTTATTGAATTAGATAAAGAACAATGGCAGACTTTCATACATAAAATTAGTTGAGAAGGAATGGTGGCGTCTATAAATCAAAAATATCTAAAAATGTTAAGCGTCAGTCCCTTAATAACTCTGTCAAAGAATTTGGTCCTGAGAAGGCGTTAAAAAAAAGATATTTAGATTTGAACCTTTTTAGATTATGTCTTGTCACTTGTAAAAAGTCATGCGTCCTGTGGTTATTTGATGTTAGCTTAATACATCCTCAACATAATGTACCTTCCTACATAGTTGAGAGTTTTTAGATTATTGTATCTCTATTATATATTTGCATATTATAAATGTATATTTCTGACATGGCTCCAGGACCTTTGTGTCATACAGTGACATTCTCAGAAGGACTAGAACCCAGAGCCATAAAGCCAGTAAAAAAAAACAGTGACATTTTGTTTAAGCTAGTATTGCCATAACATTAAATGGAATTGTTACAAAGTACTATGATTGAGATAATGTATTATTGTAGGAAGTTCTTTGTAAGAGACTTATTTTCAACCATATCACTTTTATTTTTATTATTACTGATAGTATAGTTGTTACTAATAATAACTTAATATAAAAATATTTTGTGTTTGTGTGTTATGGTGGTTGGTAGTCTTACAAAGCTATACGAAAATAGTTTGAATATAGTAAATGGCAACACTTTAATAGAGTGAAATTATTTAAGTCATTTGATATTCCCAAAAATGCTTGTTTTTTTCTGTAGCTTTAATTAAAATACATTTTTATTTGAAAATTCATAGAAAAATAATAAAACTCATTTTATATACAACTTATTTCTAGACGCAATAATTTTTGTCAACTATTATTCTGCCATTGTTCTTTGTAGAGAGTGAAGAAATAGCACATGGTAAAGAGCCTCGAGCCATCGAGCAAGTGCCGCGTGCTCCTAAGAACCGGTCGCTATAACCGGCTGGTTGGAAGGAAGCAGATGGTGCGCTTGCTCTAATAATAATAATAATAATAAATAAATATTTTTTCTTCCTTACAATTAAATCTCCTGTAATTGCCGAAACGAAACTGCCAATCAAGATCCTGTCTTGGTCGTCCCATTGCCACTCCCATTATTGCTTCTCCAAGTGATGGACTATTTTGATTATAGTGTTTACTACTGCGCATGGTATTTTTCGGTATTCTATTATACGAAAAACCTACTAGAATAGTATTTCACAGCATATTATTTTTTTTAATTTGAGCTATTATGGCTACTTATATATTATATGACTGAAACTTTACTATAATTTATGTACTATAACATCCGCTTTCATTTCAGGGTTAATGTTCATGATGTCAGACCGTGGCGCTCGTATATTGGTCATCGACGGTTACACGTTCCGCCGCCAGTGCGATCTAGGCATCAAGACCAGGTGGTGGTGCAGCACGCACTATAACCGTGGTTGCCGTGCAGTTGTCTATACTATTGGATCACAGGCTATCAGGTGCAAAAATATACATAGCCATCCGCCTGAACGCAAATACTAGTTACTTTGACTGTATCCCTGACGAAAATGTTAATACAACTTTAGAAATACATGCGAGATAAACGCTATTTTCATTTGTGTAACACTAGTGGAAATCATTACCGACAATTCGTATAAATTTAATAAAATGAGATTATGTTAAAAAGACTACTGACGCTCTTGACAACAAAAGGCACTTAATATGACGTTACTAAAGGTCAATCTTTAAGACGGAGCTATTCACGATTTTCACTATAGTTATAAATACAATGGCATCATAAAACAACACTATGGACCTCAAGGTTTTTTATTAGTGATCGATGACCTCAAGACATTTTCTTCTTTTTTTTTTCTATGAAGACATTCATATAATATTATGTTGAAATTTGAACTTTAACATACTGAACCCATTTCCACAAACAATTACATAAAATGGGAAATTAAAACGTATTTAAGAAAAGGATACTAAAGTTAACTTCTTTGTTGATCATAATATTTTATTAATTATATATAATATGAATATAATATGATAACTGTAGTTGGAGCATTTAATGATGACGTTATCCAGTAAGTTTCGATTAATGTGATTACTTTATGGTTTGTTTAAATTAATACATATAATATGTGTACAGTTAAAATGATTGTAATTATCTGAAATAACTAAAATTAGTATAAACTATTTTATGCATGCTTAAGAAAATATTTAATTTAAAACAAAAAAGTATGACAGAAAATCAGGTTTTGTAATCATACTGAGTCGCCATACTACTAGTAGTATTAAATATTATATACGTAAATATATGTTAAATAGCTATGAGTTTGGTGTGATAATGTATCAGTTAACATGTCAGTAAATATTATTTTACTAACATTATATCTTTCTACGAACATATAACATTTTTAAATAATAGTAACTTCTGCTATAATTAAAAATAATAATACATATGATATACATCTACTGTAATATCTTAAAATTATTAGTATAGTGATTTAAGAAGACCATCAGCAATTAAATCGGTTGTAGTTTCTGCTGGAGGAATAGAATTTTTATCCTTTGACATTTTTATTTATTTAGAAAAAAAAATACGCTTTACGCTATTATGGTGCACGACAGTGCCGCCATAGCGTTCATCGGCTTAAAAGGTTGTTTTTTTTAGAAGACGGAGCAAACAAGCATTCGGCGCACCTGATGATAAATTTCTAACTATACCCATGAACAACTGCAACACAAGGGAAATTGCGGGGAATTGTTCAATTATAATTAAAATATACAGTAAATACTACAAAAACCTGTTGTGTGAAAGCGAGGTTCTAAAATAAATACCCTTAAATAGCTGTTAAATTGTCCACGCTGTACTATAGACTCCAGAACCTAATATCGTTCATTGGTGTTGTTAAAATTAACTTATAGCATTGAGTTATATGTACTACGTACTAGAGAAGCCATTCCGAACATTGACTATGTTCAACTGAACTGTACTGCAATCCGTGCAAACTAAATATTGCGTAAATTGAAAATTTGTGAATTCCATAAAATAATTATTATTACATTTTATTTAGAAATATGTTTAGTTTAGATTAAATTAAGATATTTTATATTAAATTGTAATATGTATTTTATATTAATATCTTATTTTATATCAAATCATCAAATTAAAGTCTTCGCGCATGCGCGACTACTACTCCCGCTTCTTCTTCTTAATAACTGGCTTTATGGCTCTGGGATCTAGCCCTTCTGAGCCTGTAGTTACAATATATTATAATAATTATCCTTCATAGTATACTGCTTCACAAAATGTTGATGCCTCACATTGTGCAGCCCTTGGGAGATTTTGACGGCAACTTGAGCCAGCAGACAGCTGACGGTTGGCGATGGTATCTCAAGGCGCCTAAGCAGACAGACCTTATTTTGAGAATCACATCACCATCAGAGCACTTGTATCATAGTTTCACATGGGAAGACACTTAATACACAAAATCGCACCACTTTTACATATTAAAGTCCACTTCAAACCATTATTTAAACAATAATACAGGAGCAGCAAACCGCCGCCGGTCAAGTTCCCGCCAAAAACCTCTACTACTCCCGCGCATGCGCGAAGACATAGAGTAGGACACAATTTTTGTTTGGGATGGCTTCTCTAGTACGTAGTACATATAACTCAATGACTTATAGCAATCCCAAACATCATCTGTGTTTTATAGAGATCTCGCCTTCCGTCAATTCTGATTATTAACGAGATTACCACCAATTTGTTAGTTTTGAGGTCTTTTTAATGCTATTTTGAAATAAGACCTGTCTTTTAATTACTTTAGTATTACATATTATGGGAGATGTTTTATTTAACTTAATTAACGTGTATTAATGTGTTTCCAAGAGTTAAACCTTAAATAGTATCTCGACTTTTGCTTGAATGAAAAATATATTTTAATATTGTAACCTTCTTTCTTTTATTTAAGACTTAATTTAATAAGTTATTAAATGTCATCATAAAAAAGTCTAATCCAGTGGTGTATATAAGGTAAGGAAAAGTCAAAGTTACATTTTTTTCCACTGAGGAATTAGTTTTTTATATATATATATATATATATATATATATATATATATATATATATATATATATATATATATATATGTGTGTGTGTGTGTGTAACTGATTCCCGCTACCAGGTTTTGAAAATTAGATTCAGATTTTTTTAACGTTGATTACAGATAAGATTGATTTTAAGAAAAAACATGGCGAAAAAACAAACACGCAAGCAGCATAAATTATAATATAAGTGATAATTTGAAACATAGTCAAAATGAAATATTGTTTATTTTTCGCCATCTAGTATATTTTAGCCTCACAAAAAAACTATAGTTGACAACCCTACTTATGGCAACAATGGGAGGAGATGGGGTAATGGATTTTCTTATGCCGCTGTCACACGGCACTAGAGATTCTTATTCTTTGACATCATCAGCTCCTAAAAGGCCACTACCAAACTTCTTCACCGTTGACGCTGCTGTCCATCACCGCACTGTGTATTTTACGTCACCAGCGATTTATTATTTTTAATTATCTTAAATATAACTATGACAAAAAATAAAATAAAATGGTTACATACTTTGTACTATAAAAAAAGAAACTTCAAATTAATGAGACGAATACAGTTTAGGTAGTTATTATTAGATTATTAGAATTAGAAGTAGTATAATTGTAATTGTAAAAGTAATTAATATATAAATAAATTTATAATAAACACTGTATACTGTATTCTATCTCATTTTCGACAGGCTAGATCTTATAGTTGTATTTTATGTTTTATTACATGTTTGTACCTTTTTAGTGTCGCTTTATAGTTTTATTGAGTTTCAAATCAATATTCTAAAGAAGTTTTAACTTCAAAAACTTAAATCAGAATATTATTTCAGAGCCTCAATTCATAAACACGAGCAATAGTCGCTTCATCTACGTGCTCGGCTACAAGTTCGGTAAGCACTGTATGTACGGTTGCAAGACTCGCTGGTTTTGCAGCAGTCATCATAACAAGGGCTGCAAGGCTGTACTTTACACAGTGGAAGATAAGATTGTTAAGTGCAATAACTCACACAACCATCCACCTTCTAAATAATTATAACATGTTGTGATATAATGCTGCCAGAACTGACAACCACTCATTGCGTTGGACGCTATTATGTAAGATGTCCTCACTGAAGTAAAAAAAAATTGTGACAGGTTAGTCGTGTATCTACGGCGCTGAGGTCCGTGACTCCGATTTTCCCACCAAAGAAGTATTTAGTATTTGTGGCGGCGCTGTCGTCGCGTCACAAGCGAAACACAACGAAGAATAAATCGCGCTGTCAAAGTTCCGAAGTAAAGCAGTATATGTATATGGAATAGCTCCGAACTACCACATGGAGCATTAGCTACTCCCCGGGCCGAACACCTTGCAGGGCAGGAGATCTCCATTTCCCTTTAACGGCCAAAGCTGCTAACTACATATACTACCGAAATCATCTTATGGGTGTTGTTAATGACGACAGAGGGAAAACAAAATAGAATGGACAGCAGCATCGTTTTAATATAAAAAACTGCGATTGCCAACACGCCTGCCAAGCGTGGCAACTATGGAAAAGATTCCTCCTATAATGCAATCTATGGGGGATGGGTGGTGGCCTATTTTTAGCAGTGGACTTTGATAGACTATATCGGTAACATACTCTCTCCAAAAACCACGCGGTTTATTTGAATTCCGTGGAGAAATTTATTCGGTTGGCCGCTGGCACTTGCGGTGTCAACCAATGTCGCGGTACCTTTTTTTAATGGATAAGTTAAGTTTAGCTGAAAGTATGTGTTAAGATGTTGCTCTTAATAAAAAAGGAAAACCAAAAATCCTCTGTTCATCTTTTTCATGTTAACCGCTTATTGGAAGATATATTCCACAAGGCTAAATTACACACACATAGTTATTACGAACTTTATGGCTTGACTATGTATATAATTGCAAAATTATTTTACCATAATAACACAATCTACTACCCCATGTTATCCCGTGGGTGTCATAAAAGCATACTGAGGGAAATAAATCAGGATCAGGCAGCAGCAATCAGGAGATAGGATTCTTATTAATAACGACTAAAAAATAAAAAGTGCGGTTGTCAGCCCTCTTGCCAAGCGTGGCAACCATGGAAAATATCCCCCCTATGAGACAATCTATGGGAGGCCTATATTCAGCAGCATATTTTAATAGGCTGTAATGGTAACAAGACAATGTAATGCAAAGGGAGCCATTATTTTCGTTCAAACTGCAAACATAAATATCCTAAAATCAATTTTGTGTAAATACGTCCAATTCAATTCAAAGTCATTAAAAATATTCATTTATATTTAAAATAAGAGTGCATGTGTGATAATTGAGTTTTTACCGATTTCAAAGAGGCAGTATCTATTTAACTGTATGCTCTTTCTATTATATTAAACACGATATCCCTAAATTAAGTAATCAATTCAGCTGATTCTTTAAATAACTATAGTG